ACTGCACTTGAACTTAACCACAGGGCTTCGCATTCAATTACTGGCTCCTTATTGGGTTACAGAGGCTAAAATCTTTTTAATTTTTGTCTCCAGCTAAACTTGAACCATTGACCTTGACTGTGAGGGCATGGGAGCTTAATCGCTAAGCTATAGGACCTATACTCTGACTATATTTTATAACTACTACCATTTTCAAAACTAATATAAGACATCTTATCAAGATAAAAATAACTAAGATATACCAAAATAAATACAATAACATTATAGTAAAAACACTAAACATATATTATTACACAATATTAACTAATATAACTAAAGTAATCTTATACAATATACAAGATACTAACAACAAAATCAAACAGTAAGTTCAAGAAAAAAAGAATTTATAATTTAGAAAAGAAGCTAAAAAGACATTATTAAAACTTATTATAAAAAAATATATATATATTTTTCTTTTTGAACTTTAAGTAATTAAATAAGCAACCTATTTCAATATATTTAAAATAGTATAAAAAATTGTATTTAGGTATTGTTTAAATAATCAGATAATGCTAAACTTAGTTATTAGAAATATCTATATAATTACTAATATAATTTCAAAAATCTTAATAAAATACTAATATGATTGCTTAAGTTTAAAAAAATAAAATAAAATAAATAAATAAGCAAATATAACTATAAAGAAAGTAACTATAGAAAGATCTAACTATATATTATAAAATTTAAATATAATTATATTTAAAAAGTTTTATTAATCAACTCTTTCCAATGATCATTTAAACCAAATCAATATCAAAACAATTTAAAAAATTATGCTTTTAAGATAATGATATCCTTGATTCTGTTTAGATATATAAAGTAGATTATTGCTAATGAACTAGAAGTATGTGAAAAAACTGAGGTACAGATGACTCTTCTGATGATTTGTGTTGAGGTCAAGTCTTGTCTGTTGGTGAACTCCTTAATATATTTAGTATCTAAACCAGAAGAACATTCTGAAAGCAATAGAGAAAAACTCTGTTTAAAGATTATTAAAAACTTTAAAACAAATAAACAATTGGAAATATTTACTTTAGTTTGGTTTTTCGCATATCATATTTATTGATTTTCTTTATCTATTTTGTTTTTTTTATTCAAAAGTAGGGAAATTGACTCATCTTCTACAAAAGATCAACATTATTTATCACTTTCTTTTTCAGACAATACATGTTATGATATGATATAATAAGAACACAACAATTATATGTATGGTCTAACATATGATGTAATGAAGAAATGAAGAAGGATTTAAGTTATAATTAAATTCTTAGTACAGATTTAAAGTACTAATATTCTAAATGATCACAAATAAGGTATGTTCTTTGATACTTTTTTTCTTTTCTTTTTTCTTTCTATATCTCTTTTTAGTTTAGTTTAATGTTTTCTTTCTTCTTTTACTTCTTTATAAAAAAATGTTATCAAATTGATAATACTCTATTGTAGGATAATGATCAGATGAACCTCTCAGATCTCTTCTTTTTTTTTAGAAAATTAGACAACTGGTACAGTAGATTGCTTGTAAGTGCTTATAGAAGTAACTGTGAAATGTCAACTCAGCACATTAAGTCTAAAATTGTTTGTTAGTATATAAATATAAATTTTAATAAAGAGTATCAACAAGACTGCCAAAGTGAAAAAAAAAAAAATTTATTAGTAACATCTTTCAATTTTTTTTAAAAATTTTAATTAGACATACAAATCATATGATAAAATGATCTACATCCTTCCAAATAGAAATTGGAACAGTTTAACCATTTAAAAATTGCTTCATAGTTCCGAACAGAATTATGTTGGTCGTGGGCCAGAATTATTTTAATGCCGGCCAAATTAAACGGTTAAACGATTAAGAAAAATTTTAGGCGGTTCAAATCCCTACTTCCAATGGGTTGATATAAACTAGGGTAGACTGTATATAGTAGAATGACGTAGATTAATGGGACTAGACAATACACAATTAATTGGCCAATTATATTACTTAAAATCTTTATTATATTAATTAAATAGTTTTGATTTAATTATTAACCATTTTCTATAATCGCATCCCTAGTCAGAATAATAAGAAATCACCTGATCGCGAATTTTTTTTGGCACCATTATTTTACTTTAAAATTTTCAAGAGCTATCGATCAGAATCACATGATTTTGGTACCGTTCGATGAGACGAATCGAATGGTATTAAATCACGTAATCCTGATCCGTAGTGCGTATATAATTTAGTGTTACATTATGTGGATATTTTTGACGTCAAATTTTTTTATCCGATCTTATACTACATTTTTCAATTATCGTGTTAATAACAAAATGTATAATAACGATACACTAGAATCGCGGGTAATTCCAGCTGAAGAAACACATATCTCTTTAGATCAACTGCCTAAAAAACGCAAAAGAATATCCAAAAAGAAACAAAAGGAAAAACGCAAAAAAGATAAAATACCATTAAACAATCAACGACCTTTACAAGAAGTTCAGAGTGATCCCATTTTACGACAAATGATCCCTATCTTATCTTCAACATCAGAGGAAACCAGTCAAAACCGAATAAAAATTATGACCTATAATGTACATGTATTTCTATCATTTCTTAAAAATCCCATTTCATATGCTCATTTAACCTTTTAATTACAATAGCTTCTTGCTCAATCTCTCATCCGCAGGGAACTCTTTCCTGAATCTGGTGAGGCACTTAAATGGAAAAACCGTCGTCCTCGTTTGCTAAAAGAGATATTATATTATGAACCCGATGTCTCTTGTTTTCAAGAAATGGACCATAATAATTATATCGATACTTTTAAACCTGAATTCGAACTTGCTGGATATGAAACATGTTTCGCTGGAATTGGTAAAAGACATGGTATGAACTATATTAATAAATAAAAGCATTATTATCTTATAGTTCATGTAAAATAAATGACTTTTACTTTTCTTTATTTTAGGTTGTTGTATAATTTGGAAACGATCTAAATTTACAAAATTAAGTGATCTTACTATCCAATTTGACAGGTTTGGGGTACCTACGATGACAACAAATTGTATAGGCCTTATTGTTTCCCTAAAATACTGTGAGACTCTCCTTGATGAAAAAAACCCCTCAAATTCGGGTCTAATTATAGGGACAACTCATCTCTATTGGAGACCTCAGAGCATGTATGAACGTGCAAGACAATGTTCAATACTTTGCGAAAATTTATTAAAATTTAAAGAGGAATTTGGTTTTGAAGCAATACTAGCCGGTGGTAGGCGTATATTTTCGTTGGATTAAAGTTATGTATCCTTGTGTTACAAAATTTAATATTTTCTTAATATCGTTAGATTTTAATTCAACACCAAATAATCCTACTTATAAACTGATGGTAGGGAACACATCGTTGACTGTGGATGAAATTTTAGAATTAGAAGGTTCAATGAGACCTTTTGGAGAGAATGTAACCTCCAACGATTCTCCTTCAACAGAAGATATATTTAAAAACAGTCTTGACCACAGTGCTGATTCAATTATAAATTATGATGGTACAGGTTTGTTAAATTCTTCATCTACTTCTGTGCCAATCACACAGCAAATATTATCATCAACGAATGTTGAGCAATCTATACAAACCGAATCGGCATCTCAATTTCAACCATCACTTCCAGATTTGCTTTCATATTTTGCAAACCTTCCATCTTGTGTATCATTGTATGCACAGCATCTGAATTCAATAGATCCAGAAAATACTATTTATTCTGAACCAAAATTTACAAATTATGGATTGCATTTCAAAGGAACTTTGGATTATATTTTTCTTTTTTGTCAAAATTATAACAATCAAAATAACGAATATTGTGATGAAAATGCCCAATCCAAGGTTAAAGTTACTAAATTATTAAAAATGCCACAAGAGGATCTATTATTACCACATTTACCTAATTATAAATTCAATTCTGATCATTTATGTTTAATGGTCGAAGTAGTTGGGCTGGTTCAATAATTATTAGATTAATCGGGATTTTATTATTCCTTAAATTGTAGGCCAAATTGTACATATATTTGTTACTAGTTTACTTTTTTTTTAAAGTTTAAAATATTTAAACCAAAATTTGATAATATTTGAAAATAAAAATATCATTTGGTTATAGATAGGGCTGTCAATGAAGCACTCTGTTGACTAGTAATACTCCAGAGTAGAGGCCTGCGTTGGGTCCCGCAGCCGGGCCTGAAGCAAAATTTTATAATTGCGGGCCGGGCCGGGCCTTAAAAATAGGCAATTCGCAGGCCCCTACTCCAGAGTGTTACTATTAAAATAGAGCCAACAGTGTATACATATGACCGTAACCCCGGACGAACCTAGTTTCAGTTTCAGATTTCGTTAATTTTCTGTAGGGATGTTAATCGGTCCTTAGGGATCAAGTTCCAATCGATCTTTGAAAGGATCTGTAAGACCCAAAGGATTCAGTCCTTAAATCATATAAAAAAAAACAATACAAAATTAATTTAATTTGATGAACCTATTTGGTAGGATCAATTTATTGTATTATAATTTAAGGATCAGATGTTTTTAAAGTTTGGGTTTGAGATAAATATAAATTGGGTTTTCAAGAAGCAGATAAAGAGTAGTTTGAAAATTGTAAGGTAACTTTATGGATTAGAGGATCATAGTAGATTATTCAGAATAGAGGAGTTATAGTTTTTTCTTGATTTATATTATTTTTAACTGAATAAAAATTGATAAGGTCAAGGTTAGATATAATCTGGTTTTGATGATCAGTAAGAAGATTAGTAAGTGTATTAATGAGATTTTGAGACATTAATATCTGTTTAAGAGATTTATAAAAAGTTCTAAATTAATAAAATTATATGTTTTGTTCATATCTTAAGACAGGAGTTATAATTGTTTGTGTTACAATTAGCATATTCAATAATATTATTAAGTATATATATGAGAATAGAAGTACTGTTGTCAGATAAAACAATATAGTTGTAAGGAGATAAAATAGAATATTGTGTAAATATTGAATTAAGATAATTAGTAAGAAGTTTGGTATATAATAAATTCTTAATATGTTTGACAAGGTTAATGGGTCTTATATTAGAATGATTTTTATTAAAAATAAGTTTTTTGAATATTAAAAAGATATAACTTTTTTTTATTGTTTAGGTATATAAAAAGTTTAAATATATTAATTAAAAAGAGCAACTATTGTTTGAAGAAAGATGAGATCAATCTGTTTAAGTAATTTATAACTAATTTCAAATAGTTCATATATTTTATTATTAGATAATTGGTTAAGAGTTCTAGTAATTCATCTAATAAAAATTTAGTTAAAACTAAATTATAATAGTCTGGTCTAATGGTAATTTTTGGTTTATATTTCTTAAACTAGTTAATATTGAATTTATGATTATTAATAGGTTTGTAAGCAGACCAATTGTTGAAATAATGTTAAATATATTTAATTAGTTTAGAATCTGTAATAATGTTATTTGATATTTTGATATTATTGAATTTTACTAAATTCTTGTAACAGTTAAGTATACTGTTAATTATAAGTTTAAGATTGGTTTAAAGATTAGAGCATTTAAAATTGATATGCTGATTTATTTATTCTCAAATTTATTTGATGTTTTTAATATTTCTATTATAATAAAGAGCTTAATATTTAGTTTAATATTAGTAATTTAACTAAATAAAGACTTATAAGAGTTAGATATAAGAAGTATATTAAGATAATAGATTGGATTAAGATAGTGAACTATAAAATTAAAATATATAGATATGAATAATAAGTTGGTTAAAGAAGCTTTAATTTGTTTAATAATATTATTTAAGTTTTTTAAAATTTAGATAAAATAAAGTGACTTTAGCTAAAAATAAATATTAAAAGTTACAAATTATTGTTTTTTTTGTTAGAAATATATTTTGTATCTATATTAATAATATTAGTTTAAATTTTATATTAGGTGGTTTTAAGAAATTCAGAAGTTTGAATAGAAAAAGGAGTTTTATTTATAATAAGGTTAAGAAAATTTAGTTAGTAAATATTTCTTGTTACTCTTTATTTATTGCTTTGTAATTAAAGATTCTTGCTAGAATTTAATAAATATTAAAATATTAATATATTAATATAAAATATAATATAAAGTTTGATTTTAATAGATAATAATATTATATAAATAATTCTATTTTGTTATTAATATAAAAATAATCATTTAAGGATATAGTGACCTAATGAAGTGGTCAGGTTGTCAACCTTCAAGTGGCAGATCTAAAGTTCAAATCACATAGATGACAAATTTTGAAAAATAGGTCTGTGTTATGATAACTATCTTTATTGATCAGTTGGATTAGTATATCTGTAACCTTCAGTTGCACTATTTCGAATAGGAGCTCAGAGCATCTATACTAAGTATAATGTTATATCTACATAGAGTAATGTATAATCAGTATTGCATAAAACTGCAGTGCAAACCTATAATAAGACCATCAAGTGTAAAAAGTGAAGGAATTGAAGAGTTAGAAACCTACTTGAAAATCCTGAATAAGAAGGAACATAAAACTTTAATAGTGCTATTAGACTGATAGAAGTCTATGAAACACCTTCAAAATGATAGGCAGATAAACTGGATAACAAGATGTGTAGAGAAGCACATGACCAACCAGGCTGCCAAAATTATCAGAGAAAAAGAATACTAAGGTATACTATTTGAATTAGAAGTTTAGAAAGTTCTGTCAGTCCTAAGTAGTGGTTAGTAAAGAATTATAAAAAGGATATTAGAAAAATAAGTATTGGAGTTTTAGATAAACCTTATAAGAATAAAAATGGTTTAATAATTAGTCCTAATTACAAGTAATGATTTAGGCCAAAATAATACTGGATGAGCTATAAGTATGAGATACAAAACATACTAGTAGGTTTAGTACAAAGTTAAATATAACTTAGTAACTATGACATATCTTTACTGGTTTACCAGAGTCATTAGTAGAATGTAATGGATATGAGATCAGAGTATTTAAATAGAGGTCTTACAGATAGGTTCTAGGTATAGCAACTAGTATAAAACCTTCAGATGGACTACTTAAATTAGACAATGACTAAAGTTGTATGAATGACTAGTTGTATACTCTTTTTATAATTATTTCTGCACTGTTACATTAACAAATGCTGGCTAACTAATATTATCAATAAAATCCTGGATCATATATACTTACCTTAATATTAAAAAAAAAAATATCATAAAATTAATATATATTATTATAAAATAATTTTACCAGAAATCTAGAATATTATATAGCAAACTTAATAAAGCATAAGTTATCTTATAAGTTCAGTAATATGCAAGAGCCACACATCATCTGATGATCTTTACAAAATAATAACTTTGGTTTTTAAGAAATGTAACAAATTCTAAAAGTGTCTAAGAACTTTCAGGATAGTGAAAAGAGATAAATAATAATAATAATAATAATAATAATTTCAAGTATTTATTATTTTCATTATTCTATTTGATTCTTTTAAAATTTTTTATATTTAATTTTCTATATTATTATAATATATATTAAACTAATCTCTTATTATATTGCTCTTTATCTTTTTATTACTTTTTATCTTTTTTATTTTTTTATTTTTATCTTTAAAATCTAAACAAAATTCTATTTAGATTTTGGTATCCTAATACTTAATTTTTTTCTATTTATATTTTTTATCTATTTTTAGTTCTATCTTTTTTTTATATATCATTACTTATCTTTATTATTTATTGTTTTTATTTATTTTATCTTATTGTTTAAAACATAATGAAGGACTTACATTTTAGATACTTGGTCAACTTTTGTCTGTCTGTTTACCTATGTTACCACATGATGTTATATGATATATACTAAATGTGTAAGCTAAATTTTGTCTATTTATTTATCCATATGATCATATTTTATCATATAATATATATTAGATATCTAAGCTAAATTTTGTCTGTTTGTCCATTTATATGATCATGCCATATCACATAATATATACTAGTTAAATTTTGTCATATAACTAGTTATAAAAATAATTGAACAATTTTTTTAATTTACTTTAGATTTATAATAGCATTTGTTTTTCTAGTATTTAAAATGCATTGGTACTGTAAACATTGTAAATAAAAGTTTTTAAAATCTTATATATTATTATAATATATCTTACTAAGATATTTTTATAACCAAGTTAATATAAGCCAAACTGTTTCAAATAAGCAGTTAGATAATATTTAAAATATTCTGAAATATAGCAACAATTATAGCTTTTTTATAGATTCTATAATAAGATAGTTAAATGCTTTAATATAGTTACAAATAATATAAAATAATTAGTTTTATTTTAGAGTAAAAATATTTTAATATTATTTTAATCTGAATTAAGTTTGAATAAGTTTTCTTCTCTAAAAATAGAACCTTCTTCAACAAATAATATGTTTCTTTTGATAAAAAACAAAATATTTTAAAATATATCTGATAAAAGTAATTATAAAAACTATAAAGAAGACGTATGATAACTTAGTAAAATAGATAAGTTGTTAATCCTTCAAGTGTTAAATTGTAAGTTCAAAACCTATCAATGGCAAAAATTTGGATAATTATTTATATAATATATAGATGATATTATGGTGACAGCATTCTGTCAATTAGTTGTAATAAGTTACCTGTAACTATAGTTATACTAGTATAACTGGCAGGTTATGAAGCATCTGTATAATATTGGTTACATGGAGAGATACAAACCAATATCAGATAGTGCAAATTTAAGATAAGTTCTTATGATCATATAAATCTGTAAAACTGAAAAATTGAAGCCTACTTAAAAAGACCTAAATAGAAAGGTAACATAAATCTTTGGTAGTGTTATAGCATAAATTATTATTATTTATTATTATTAGTTATTATTATTATTATTATATTATTATTATTATTATATTATTATTATTATTTAGTATTAGTTATTTCATTATTGTATT